GGCCATTACAGTAGAAATGTCTGATTCTGTTCAACAAGATTTAATGAGTTTACAACAAGTCGAAGATAAATACAGTGCATTGCGTGAACTAGTTCAAGAAACGTCCGTTGTAAATGATATGAGCTTAGATTTAACTTTTAATAATCAATCGGCTGACGAATTCGGGGAATTTATGTCGGCAGAACAACCACCTAATAATCCCACGATGTCAGATGCTTTGGATATTGAAAGCTTTAGTATGTTTGCGGATTTTGAGTTTAAAACGCACGCTAACGCTGATAACAATAATTTAGCAGATCTGAACTTTGTATCTGAAGTATCTGAGTCGTTTAATAATCTAAAACTTGATGATGGAATTGAAACACAATTTGTAGAGACAGGTTAGTGCTCTCATTACTTGCAACAATTTTATTTTCGCTTATGTGTCATTTTGCTTGTGTGAATCTAGTAGTATATATTATTCTTAGGAAAGAATGTTCAGAAAGAAGATGCTATTTCGATAAATAGTATAGAATTGATTAGTGGTCCATCCGAAGCACTGCCACGTTCTGGATCTGTGCCTAGTTTAGATCTTAAATCATTTTTGCCTTCTAATGTAGAGGAAGAACAAGTTATAGAAGTTTCACAGCAGGTAACCATGTGCAATTGAATTGTCAGGAAGTCGAGATACAGAGGAAATAATCATTTGATATTTATTATCAAGTGTTTCTCTATTGCAGACTGTGTATTGGGAATGGAAACAATATATGGAAAGTTGTGTTTTATTACTGCAAGTTGCAGCCAATATATTTACCAATATCACGTCAGAATTAGTTCTGCAAGAAATTTTAAATTCAGCCCAGGGATATAACTTTCTTTGCCGTAAGCATTCGTTTCAATAATATTAAACATTTATATGTACTATCTATATTATTTATTCATTATTATTCATTACGAATAATAAAACCATAAAAATATAAAACATGTTTTGTTATTAGAATTAGCTGAAGTTGCAGCTGTTTGTAGACGTGTTAATTTTTCATACAAAGAATTGGATATAAATATTATTGGGTTTGATGACCTTTTAATGGACATTGATCGGATTTGGGCTGAAATGGAACCTTTTTATGCAAACATACCAGTAAGTATTGCCTAAATAAACTATTAATATTTTTATATATTAATGCTGTTAATATTTTTACATGTACAAATGTAAAGGAAATACTCTTTTTTTTTCTAATATACATTTTTTCAAACTTTTATGATACATCTATATTAATATATTTCAGATCGTCACTGAACTACCAGCTTGGCCATTACATCAAGGAGAATGTACATCTTGTTCTTTGTGTTTAACAGTTATCACGAGTGGTCGAGTCATATATAACGATAATAATTATCATGTAACATGTGCAAATTTATGGCTCAATTGTGTAAGCAATCAGTTGCCAGTAATGCGATATTCTTTACTTTGTCAATCGACTATATGTCCAGGAAGCCATATTTAAATGCTAATCTACATGTTGAAAGGTTTCCAAAAACTCAAAAACAAAAATATGCTATTCAAACTTTATTAAAGTAAATAGGAGAACTTGGCATAAAAGTGATCTTTAAAAATCTAGTTCTAATACAATTTGCATTTAATCTAATGAATGACATATATGTATATAAACAAAGTGCAGATTCAATGTTCATTTAAATCATTTATTATAGAGACTTATATATACTTTACAAAAATTCTTAATATAACATAGTCATACGATATTAAATTAGCAAAAATATTTATATATTTAGCTTAACAAAATGAACAATGATCGTATTTCAATTGCTCCAATTCTAATGCAGTATTAAGAAAAGTTCAATATTTACATCTTAAATAGCAATTTCTATATAATTAACGTTGACTCGTGTCGCGCGGCCTATATACAATTCCTCTGCTCTTCATTTCTCTGATGACACCAGCTGGTAATCGTCCTGATACTGATATGGCGTAGACGCCCTTACAAAAACGATCTGAAAAAAAAATAGAATCTCGGCATTAACATTGGCCATTCTCGACGTAATTATACATACATATATATAGACTGAGATACAATTTTAATTCTGAAAGTGTTTGCGCGAATAGCATTCTACTTAAACAAATCTTTATAATATATACGCACATAAGTATGTTCCTAGATAAATACATACTGGCATTTGTAAGAATAATATGTCTGTATAAATGTATTATACGTTTAAAATGAAAATCTCAGAAATAAATATATTTATTAAAATATCTAAATACATATAAAAAATTTTAGGATTTATAGTCTCAGCCTTCTGTATACTATTTTAATTTTCAGGAATTTTATTCTTTTTCTATTGATTTACTACATACACATACATAACTTTGAAATAACAAAATATTTTGAAAAATTCTTGAAATATAATCAGAAAATTACAATTATATATTGGTAATAATTTATAAAAGAATGTTAATTACTTGAGTTATATTAGTATATTTATCATAATACTTACTTATTCTTTGCCACTTCGACACCCAACTATCTTCTGGACTCATTAGCGCAATCACTCTAAAATATAGAAAATAAAATATAAGCAGATAAAATAAATACATAGCGAGAAATCATTTTTTTATTTCTTCATAATAGATTTATTAAAACGAGACATTGTTATTTTAAACTGTTAGCCATTAAAATTAGAGAAACAAGTAAAAATTTATATTTAAAAAATAGCTAATGTCTTACACGTCTTAAAATATCTTAACGTCTCACTAATGTCTTACAGTGTACAACAAATTCTCGATAACTTTGCTCAAAAAAGCTAATATTAAATATTTACAAAGCTGCTAATGTACATCAAAGAAAGAGGTCATTCTTAGCCAACTGTATATTGTAGTGTATTACCCATCAAAGTTGGAACTTGTGCAGTCAAAAACATTATCCTTATTGTTTTTCATACGAAGAAAATCGTCACAGTTGTCACATCCATCAAATTCGAATTGATCGAAAGTCTGTGGAGTAAAAATATGATTGCATTTATTCTAATATATAGGGTGCCTTCCATTTATGAATACAAATCGATACACTGTCATTCTATCTTTGCATTCCATGAGTAACAAAGACAGAACAATACTTGTGTTCATTTGTGTCATTAGATGGAAGGCACTCATAAATAAGTTGAAGGGCCGATCATATTATAACGCAACATAAGACTTCTGTACCTTATATACGCACCTTAATCAAAGAGCATACCAAACATGCTCTTAATCCACGTAAATCTTTTGGCACGGTCTCCATTGACATCGTATAACAAACTGTATACTTCACGGTAATTACACGTGAAAAAAATTTAATTCAAATTACTTTGAAATTAAAGTAATGATAGTTACAAGTATAAGATCTCTTTACGATATGCAATGACACGAATAAAGATAAACTGAGGTCTGCTGAGATCTGCCGTTGATCTGTTTTAACTTTTAACTAGTTACGTTAGATATTAAAATGAGGTTAGGTTAAAAGTACGTTAACGATCAACGTCAATAGCTAGCGCATATGCTGTGGCACTAAAATCAACTAGAATGCTCATTTGGCGTTTTGGCCACCACTACCGAGACTGTGCCTCTCGCTGCCCTCAGTAGAACAAAAATGGCGACAGAAGGTCTGTTCTTTTCAGCTGAACTTCTTGCACGGTTTATTTTTTTCTCTTTTTCTCTCCAATGTGGAAAGAAAAGGAAGAAAGGTAATGTACAAGAACTAAGCTAAAAAGAACAGACCTATTAGCTTGGTGCCCGTGCATTTCTTTGCTCTAGATTTATAATCTTTGACGACAGAATGTGCCTATAAGCCAAAGTTAAAGAAAATCCCTGAAATTTTAATAAACACTTTTTGATTAATAATTTCCTAATGTTATATTTTTGAGAATTTAAATATTACGATATAGGTATATATATACCTATAATTAAGATGTCAACGGTTGGAAATTTTCTCGAAATTATATAATTGTTAAAAGAACCTGACAACTTGCAATGTCTAGAAGACGTCTTTACATGATGTCTTTTAGATATCTTTTTATATGTATGTACCAATTAAAAGACGCCTTTATAACGTCTTTTAAACATGCCATGCATGTTATCTGAGAATTATAAGCAACAATGAAAATATTTACGCTTGATAAAGTGGCATGTAACTATATCTAATGTTGATAAAATATCTCCAATTTTTTCTGCTATTTAAATTTAAAAAATCGATAGAATATAATCAGTATATATAAATTATAAATAAAGAGATAGTATACTAAATATATTAAAATGTTGCAATTTTGAAAATTTTTGAATTGTAAAAATTAAATTATCAAATCAATAAAGCATGAGGAGAATAATGAAGGAAAATAACTGTAAATTTCTCATATCACATATTTATTAGAGAAATCTCTTTGGTATTCTCAAGATATTTTAATTAGTTTTACAACATCGACGCTAATGTGTCACTTGGCAGCGATTCTGCGTTTCGCTTACACGTGAATGCTATCCACATATTTTCATATAGAAATTATTAGCTGTATCAGCATCGGTAGAAAGTTATAGTTACACGTTAGTAAGGCTGCGTGCCAGGAAAATATATGAGATATGAAAATATAAGACATATTATATGTACGAATGCATTTAGCTTCTCACATGGTTGCGAGGCTGATTTCAATGACTCATCATCATTACCGTTATTGTCATCATCATCATCATCATCATCATCACTGTTATAAGGCCGGAATCAGACTACGCATTGAAGAATGAGATTGAAGATTGAAAAATTGATGTTTGACCAATCAGAACAAAAGGAGTCAAAATTTCTTTTGTCCTCATTGGTGAAATTTCAATCTTTAATCTTTAATCTCAATCTTCAATGCATAGTCTGATTCCGGCCTAAGACATTGTCTGAAATTCTACGCTTACTACCAGATTTGATTCATATGTGGCTACAGGAACACCAATCTGACTGTATATGTATAAAAAAAGAAATGACTACTGTTCTTCCAACCACATGTGAAGTAAAAAAAGACTTTGTTCTACGAGTAGCGTTATTGTTATGTCTTGGCATGAAGTGGAATTATATGTTGCTGCTGTTGCGATTTATCAACTATAGCTGCTAGTCTTCATCCTTGAAGCGACGATAGATGGACTGAACATATGTGAAGACGCACTTCCAGTCTGGTCGTTGCATCATCACCATGTCCTCGACGTCAAGTAACGGCGCGATTCCAGCGACTTCGCTGCAAGAAAGAAGACTTCTTTGGTTTGTAAACAACAACAAAAAATATTTAACACAATTAAGCAATGAAGGCCATATTCGAAAAAAAAAAGAAATAATTAATTATTAGATTTTTGAAAACAAGAACAATTATATTATCTCAATGCAAAATTTGGAGCTCTTACTCAGCCTTCGTAAAAGCGAGTTCGAAGTTTTTCCTGCGATTCTCTGGACGTAGAGAATTGTAGTCGAAAGCATCCGGTCTAAAATGATGGATCAACGCGCAGAACGCTAAACCATTGTTCCAGCTTGTCGAGAAGTTGTCAAGCTGTACATTCTGAAACAGAGGATGAAGTTTTTGTATTATGTAATTTATTCAATAGCTCATTAACTGCAGCGCGCTTTCCCTTGATAGATAACAAGGATGTCGTAAGAATTCATGAATAACGGATCAATATTATTTTATACAACACACGATGCACTTACCTCGTACTCTTTGGTTTTTGATCGGCACCATGCTAGTAATCGCTCCTTAATTTGCGCAGCGTTATCTCGTACAGTTGGTTCGGTAAATTTGAATCGAAATTCCGTTGCCGGTGATTTTACAGGGCTAAATAAACAATTCAAAAAGAAAAAAATGAATTACTCAGCAAGATATGAATTGCTTAATAAATTAGCATGTTCTATCTCTCCCCCTTGTAACAAGAAAAGTTACACAAACTAAAAATATAAAATTTTTCAAGAAAGAGGAAAGAAAGTTACGTGTGTGTTGTAAAATTAATTATTTTTTTTTGAATGTATTAAAAATAAGTTAACTGGAGTTAAATACAAATTGCTTGTTTCAAGTTTCAAGTCTAGAAGTATAATGATTAAGCTTTCTGTCAAGACATAATTTTTTACTTTTCATTGCACTATCCATGCATTGAAAGAAGACTTAATTGTGTTATGTTAAACTCCTAAAAATTATTTTGATTTTTCCATGCAATTCTTTTTAATTTTTGCAATTCTTTTGTGTTCGAATTCAACTTATATCACTTTTTCTGATTAAAAACCGATGTATTTAGAACATATAGTAATGCGCGCATAATTCGCACGAAATTCAAAGAATTTTGACTTGTGTCACTTTTCTTGCGAGAGTGCAATGTCTTTTTTTGCTCTATTAGATTCTTCTTTGATCTCTGTCGCGTTAAAGCGGCCACGTAATCCTTAATTACATGCAATTTTAATTTCTATTCTCACCTTGGTGACAAATTGGCGCTATTTTGTTTATCGAGTTGGCGAAACTTGGCGAACGGTGACAGCGGCTTTTTCGGAGCTGAAAAACGAACAGGGCGTTGTAAAGCTACAAATGTTTAAAACAGCATAATATGTTAGACTCATATCGAGATGCATACTAGATCTGGCTGAAATGTTAATGTCTCTCTATATCTATTTTAATTGTCTATAATTGAATCCTGGTCACAAAGGCGTCAGAGGTGCGATTTATTAGAAAGTCTGGATCTAGCAGAATCGTTCATCTATCACTCTCGTCGCGTGCCCGTGACATGCATTAGTTGTCTTACAAACAAATTCAATAACAGTTTAGTATGAAAAAGAACAGGATATGGCGATCACGAAGAACATACGTATGTGTCTGTACAGATATTAATTGTTCAAGTATCTCTTTAGTAATTTTCGACTTTAGTAACGAGGAAATAACAAACCTGTTGAAAAAGGAACGTTTTGGATCGAGTTTGATTGTAAAGTGGACAGGCTAAATTCGTCGATCGACCGACATCGATCGACACCACCGCCATGCACGAGCATTGAAAAAGTATGTCCGTGCGCGTGTACACATTACGCACGCGCTTGTACTTCCACGAGAGGATGTCACGAGGTGTGGCAGCAAGTAAGGGTATATTTACCAATCAGAAGGCGACGCGTTTAGTTCTCTAGAACTGATGTGGTTATAATTGTGTGGATCTATTGGACCCACACAAAAAGAAACAAAAAAAAGGAGCAAACATTAAAATGTTTATATCAATTTCGAATCAGAAATTTTTTATGTTTAGACTTGTTGGATGTACAAGTCAACGTGAATCTTTTGTCATTGATAAAGACCTTTACTGTCTGTTAGTTTAGTTTGTTTTTGAGAATCAATTATGTTTTTCACACAAATTTGCTGAATGACTGTTTCAAATATCAAAGCAAAACTACGCGTCGAAATTATTGATTTTGTTTTCAACGCTCATAATAAGATTGTCCCCACGCCAGTTCGATAGCATAAGTCCTCTGTGTAAAAACATCCGTCCAAAAAGTTGCTTCATTTTCCCATTCTTTGTATAAAGAAAAAAGATAATAAATGTAATATATTATATTAGGAAACATTACATGCGTATGTAATTGTAATTATTAATTTTCCATTATTACGCGCACTACAATATATTTCATAAATATAAAGAATCCTATTAAATTTTCGGAAACATTGGCTACTTGGATGTAATACATTCCGCGAATAGTGTGAAATATACAATTATAATTGCGCGTCTTAAGTGACGAAAAAATATCGCCTTCGATTGTTATCAGCGCCCATATTTTCGGGGGATGTTTTCGAGAGATCTGAGCTGAGTTACTCAGGCCGCCACAGCATCGCTATGCTCTGCAATTGTACCAGCGCGTGTACATTACGATTACACTCTTAGACACACTCGTAGCAGTGCAAACTGTATACGCCACTGCGTAACAAAAGGATCAACAAAAATAAGGGCTGTGACTCACTGCTTTATTCGGGGATTGGCATGGTCCTCTTAGCGACTCCGTCCGCGAGAATGTGCGCTCGCGACTTGGATTTAAATAAAAAAAAAAGAGAAGAAAAAATATTGAGAGAAAAAGTTGAGAGAAAGGGGAGGAACACGCGGGTCACGAGCATCGCACGTGTAAAGCATGTGACTGTTTTATACGTAGACTTTGTGGCTCGTAGTTAGATTACGTGCATCGAGCGGAATAATGGCGATGTAACTGATGCGCTGCATGATGTTCTTTATTTCTTGCTGGTTACAGCAGATTTCGCATAAGTGGCTCCATGTTCCTCGAATTTTCGCGCTCACGTGATGATCTTGAGCGAGAAGAATGAAGAGATGGGATGCTGGACACCGGCGGTGACAATGGTCGTTGAATCTATTTGCACTACCGTCTCTCGTAATGGACGAAGACCATGTATCGGCCAATTCCGCCGTGCAAGAAACGTACTGCTTTCGCAGAAGACTATGTAGCTTCGTGTCGAGAACGGCATCGTCGAATGCTTTTGTCCCTCAAAGATGCGGCTTCTAATCAGATCTGTTAGATCTATTCTAATATTGCGAGCTAATACGAAGAGAGCTAGTACTTCTCGATTACGAGAGAATTACGCGAGAATTACGCGCAACAAATTAGATTAGATTTCAAACTCACATAATTATCTTCGGTTTCTTTTAAATTATTCATAAAAGGTAACTAATTTGTAGATTGAAACACGTAGCATTTTGTACAAAATGCAGTTAGATAAGTAATATTGGATTTTTTTTAAAAAGTACTGTAGACTATTCTCAAAACATTAGTTGAAACCAGCTTGAAGGGAAGTAAAAGAACAGTTAAATCTCAGTTAATCTCAAAATCTTAGTTAATGTTTACAGAAAGTCTTGTGAAAATAAGTGACCAACAATAATTGTATGCAAACTTCTAATGTAAACAATCTGATTAGAATTAACCGGCTATGTACGTAACGATGCGTCCTGAATTACAACTGTTGACGGCAGGCTATGCGAATTAAAAAGTAGGCAAGATCACAGTTTAACGATCCATGTTATCAATCAATTATGTTGCACATTTGTGATGAGATTAATGATGGTCGTAGAATCGTTATTCTTATCACGATGTTCAACACAGCGCGAAATATCGTCGGCTCTCGAAAAATTACTCGCAAAAATCCCGAACGGACACCACTTTTATCGTCACCAAGTCTCCCAAGTGAACATCACGCCGATATCTTACGACGATAAGGATCAGTCGATCAGAAGCGGTCATCAGTCCTGGTGACCTCTTCGAAGATGTCATCAAACACTTTGTCCACGTCGGCACTATTGAGGCTCGCCACGGAAATTTGTGGCACTGCCGGGATCGTCAGGCGCAGGTTCTCTTCGCATATTCCTGGCATAGTGCGACTTCTGGATAGACCAACAAGACCTTTTTTCACCGAGTCGCGCGACGAGAAACGTCTACCCTTGGAATCCTTCGTCTCCATGGCACCGTCGTTTGCTGGATTATCGAAATATCTGCGTATTTTATCCTCCATCTTTTTCACGCTGTCCAAGGACGAGGATGCCTCGTATTGCTTTTTCATCTTAAAGGATGATGGTGACTTTGGCTTGGGTGGTTTGGGAAGATAGGACCCGGTACCAGCTAGAAATTGCTGCGATAAGTTGCTCTGTACTGGACGCGATGGAGCTTGATGGCTCTTCGAGAGTGCCAGCTGATGCCATGATTCGGACTTCGACAGGACGATGGATCTGGACGGTCTGTTGGTACAGGACATAAGATACTCGTCGCTGGAATCCATCGCGCTGCTCGTTCCGTTCGGGATTGGCGAGCGTTCCTTTTGCATGGATTTTGATTGACCGCCGTTTGCTGAACCCGGTTGTTCATATTGTTCTCTGAGAGCGGTAATCCGATTCTTCGCGCTGAATCCGGAGGATGATGCTAGTGACAGCAAACCGGTGACAACCGCTGGAGGCTCTAATTTTCTTGACGGCTCCAACCTTCTCGGGGTCTCCAATTTCCTCGGTGGTTCCAACTTTCTCGATGGTTCCAACTTTCTCGATGGTTCCAATTTCCTCAAAGATTCCAACTTTCTCGAAGGTTCCAACTTCCTCGAAGGTTCCAACTTCCTCGAAGGTTCCAATTTTCTTGAAGGTTCCAACTTCCTCGATAATTCCGATCGTTTCGGTGGTTCCGGTTTTTTCGGCAGTTCCGGTCTTTTTGGCGGTTCTGGGCTTTTCGGCACTTCTACCGGTTGGAACCTCAGAGATTGATTAAAACTGTTAGATTGATGAAAACTAGGCTGATTAAAATTGCTAGATTGGTTGATGACAGGCGTATGATAATCGTTCAGCATCACTCGCTCGTTTTGCAACTGTCGGACCAGGCTCTGTTGTAGCAAGTTGTGTCGACGTATTTCGTCCTCGGTCGTGATCGTCTCGCTATTAGTTGATTTGGGATACGGCCAGAGCTGTGAGGGTGACGAGGAGGAGGGTATTCCAGATGGTGACATTCCGGATTCCGGTCTAGTTCCGTCGACGCGTGTCGTTGGAACGTCCTCAGACGCAACAGTCGCGATCGCACAGGTGTACCGTGTAACGACACCGGTGTCCGCACTGATATCCTGATTTTGTATATTCTGTTCCTCTGGCAAAGCGCCGTCACTCGTACACAGGAAATCTTCCTTGTCGATCTCATGCGACGCGCTTGGCATCTGATCCTCGAACGGATCTTTATTAGATTTAACGTACGGGATATAAGTCGGATATATTGGCGATCGATTATCAATCGCCGGTTTAGGTGAGAAATAATTTTCGCATCGCGGACTCGTTCGAAAGACTAGTTCGTGCTGTTCCGACGATTGATGATCGGAAGCATCTGAAAAAGGGACATTCTCCATTGAATACGGCACGCAAATGGTGTCTTTCTTGACAAGATCGCAAGTATTCTTGTTCGTTAAGGGCAGAGTTTCGTTTCTCGAAGCGATGTCGGTCGATACGGCATAATTTCGATTGTGATCCAAGACAAAGTGACTCGAATCCCCAGTAGGACGATAACTCAAGTCTGATGTTGGAACAGCGTCGTTGTATTGAAGAGTCGTCCAGTGTTCTTTGATTTCCACTTCCGGTTCGTCGTGAGTTTGAACAGACACATTATTGTACGCAGACGGTGGTCCCTTTGCGACCTTAGGAGTCACTCGAAACACTCGTGCCTCTTCAGGATGACTATCATCGTCGATACCAGTTTGTACGGCCACAGACGAGCTACCTTTGAACATCGCATCGATCGGTGCGTTGCCCGCAAATGTGGTTCCGACTGAGTCCTTATCATTGCGCACTGTGGCTAGTGGTTCGAAGACATTCTTCTCGCTATGAAAATCAGATTTGTCTCGAACCGATTCCTCAATCGTGCGATGCAGCTCGTTTGGGCGATATTGGACCTGCGGTCCTTTCTCGGGGAACATCCTGAAGGAAATTTTCCCATCCACCACGCCGAGCTTCTCGTTCAATGGAGCCAAGTTCTTGCGATGTGCGTTCGAGTGTTCGTTGCGTCTGCGAGAATCCTCGATGCTTTTGGCTTCCGGGACGGTGTTCTTGCCGATAAAGGGCGCGAATTGCTTGCAGAATAATCGATAATCGAGCCGTCCGTTCTCGGTGACCATCTTATTCGATTTATTCTCGTTTTTGTCGTGCTCGATCCATGGTGGTCGAGGGAAAGCAGATTTCTGGGTATTCTCGTTCACATTGAACGACGGCGGATGGAATTGATTACCGTTTCGGTCGAATATCTTGGCTTTCTCGCGCAAGGAGTTACCGGGCGGTAGTGCGTTGTCCCTTTGCCAGTGATGACCGAGCGGGGATTTCGGTGTACACGGCTTCTCGATCTTCCGAAACAGCGACGAAGGCGCGTGTCTGAAGCCCGCATCCGGCTGCGGCACGTTCGCGTTTGCGAACGGTAAGCTGTTGTTTGTCGTGCCGCCACTGGTCGGCATCTTCTTGTTCACCGGAATCTGAGGAGACGTTTGGGGAGTATTTGGGAAGCGTTTCGTAATGTTTTGCAGTCTCGGTGACAACTTGTCGATATCGTTCGTGGACGAAGGCTTATCGAAAGCGGTCTTGATGTTCGAAAATCGGCTGTTCCAGTTCTCGTTCGGCTGCGCCATGTCTGTCGCTTTGGTATAGCCGAAGGATTTGACAAAGGCAGGTGCAGCGTTGTACGTTGTCTGCGTCTCGTTGTTCCGGTTGATCAACGCCAGGAACTTCTTGTCATTCTCCGTTCTCGGGTGGAACGATGGCACGCCAAGATTGGACGCGTTCGTAGTAATCTTATCGCCCACGTTGATGGGACGTCGCAGCACTATGCAGCCGGGATTGTCGTAACCAAGACTGTCGGTCTGTAACTTTAGGTAGCTCGGTATGTCGATGGTATTGGCACGCTTGATTTTCGACTTTTTCGCTGCAAACTTGTTGCTGCCGTTATTGCATTTGCTGGCGCTGATCAGTTCTGCGCGTTGCCTAAGTGCCGCCGCAAGTTTCGTCACCTGACTTTGCTCCTCGCTCGTCCTCTTAATCGCGATTTCCTCGTCGTTGCTCACTTTCTCCTGGTAACCGTTGACACTGTCCCGATGTTGAATCTGCCGCGTATTCGATTCATCCGTCGTCCTAAGTGCGACTGCCGGCCGATCCACGTAACCAACCTGTGGCGGAATCAGCGGCCGATATTCACTCGTATCCTTATTCCTGTCACGCAACGACTGACGCTGATTAATCACGTCCTTCGTGTATTTGTCGTGGATCTCCTCCACCACGTGTGGTCTTTCGCCGCTCGTCGCGTTACGCGACGTAGACAGCAATGGTTCAGGTCGTTCAATCTGGAACACCTGGTCGTTCAATCTCGCTAAGTCCGCGCTGCTCTCCTCCAGCTGCCTCCTCGCGCGTGCGATCTCTTCGGCGGAAACGCCGATGGTGTGTCTGGCAGCCCGCCGTCTTCGTCCAGGTAGCGCACCGCTGCCACCGTTCTGTGCCACGATGTCGATCGTCCTGTCGCCCTCGCTGCTACTCGATTCCTTCTCTTCCACCGGCACCTGCAGCCGCGACAGTAGGCTCGATACCAGTCGCAAGAGATGTAGCTTGCTAGTGGGATCCGATACCCCGCCGTGCTTCGTGAGCGTTGCGATGTCCGTGCGTTCGAGCGTCTCGCGCAAACGGGAGAGTGCAGTCTGGATATCCGACAGCAGCAAATCTTCCAGGAACTTGAGCTCGTCCTTCCTCGACACGGGTACGTCGCTGCCGAAAAGCACCTGTTCCATAGAACGGTTGCCGACCCCGTCGATGCCGACGTTGACGCCGTGCGACGTCGCCGTCGGCTCGTCGCTGCCACGCCGGCAACCCGCTGCCAGGGACAACTCGAGCGCCTCGCGTAGACGTTCTACCAGTACCGGCAATGAATTCCACTCACCGACTGCCGAGCTAGTACCGCTGCTGGTGCGATGCTGCTGTCCGTCTCCGTCGTTGACGGTGGTTGTCAATGGTACCCCTGTACCACCCGGTTCCGCCTGCCTCGCGACCACCCCCGACACCGGCACGCCGTCATCCGACGACGCGCTTCTCGTGACGGTCGCCAGCTCTGCTAGAAAGAAACGAATCAAATGATAATTCAGAATCATTCGCGTAATCGCATTGAGTTCTATTAAGTTAGATTATCTAGAAAGATGTGATTCGTATGTCGGCTTTACTAGATAATTATTGACTTGAAACGATTTGATTTGAGAAGATTTTAATTAGAATACCTTTTCAATTTTCTACAGCTGTTAATTTCGTTATATTACTTATTGAATTATAAATTTTAACGCTTTTATATTTTAACAATGTTGTGTGTATATGTAATGATTAGATTATATAACAAAAATACATATTTTGAGCATCTTTATATAAATCA